ATTGCATTCATGCAGAAAGTTTACAAATAATTAATGTACAGTTTACTGTTTGGTAAATATTTTTTTTTCAGATGGAGTCTCGCTGTCTCGCCCAGGCTGGTGTGTAATGGTGCGGTCCTGGCTCACTGCAACCTCCACCTCCCAGGTTCAAACGGTTCTCCTGCCTCAGCCTCTGGAGTAGCTGGAATTACAGGAACCTGACACCATACCCGGCTAATATTTTTTGTATTTTTAGTGCAAAAACCAGCCTGTTGGCCAGGCTGATTTCGAACTTCTGACCACAACAGGTCCACTCACCTTGGCCTCCCAAAGTGCAAGGGTTACAGTCATGAGCCACCGCACCCTGCCCAGTTTGATGAATTTTCAAAGAATGAACATGCTTGTGTAACCAGAACTCACATCAATAAATAAAATTTTACCCACATTTCAGAGCATTCCCCATCATCATTCCTTCTGATTGCTACCTTCCCACCCAGAAGTAACTGCTATCCTGACTGCTAACACTATGGGTTGATTTTTCCTGTTTTATTTTTTAAACTTACATAAATTGAATCCTACAGAGTTGGGCGTGGTAGCTCACGCCTGTAATCCCAGCACTTTGGGAGGCCAAGGCAGGCAGATCACCTGAGGCCAGGAGTTTGAGACCAGCCTGACCAACATGATGAAACTCTTTCTCTTGTAGAGAAACCCTGTCTCTACTAAAAAAAATACAAAAATTAACTGGGTGTGGTGCTGTGTGCCTGTAGTCCCAGCTACTTGGGAGGCTGAGGCAGAAGGGTGGCTTGATCCTGGGAGGCAGAGGTTACAGTGAGCCGAGATCACACCACTGCACTCCAGCCTGGCTGATAGACCCAGACCTTGTCTCAAAATTTTTTTTAAAACCACAATAAATGGAATCCCACAGTAAATATATTTGTAGATTGATTTATTTTATAGAGATGAAGTCTTGCTGTATTGCCCAGGCTGGAATGCAGTGGGATCATGGTAGCTCACTGTAACCTTGACTTCCCAGAGTCAAGCAATCCTCCCACATCAGCCTCCTGAGTAGCTGGGACTACAGGTGTGCACTACTGCACCCAGCTAATTTTGTATTTTTTGTAGAGATGGGGTTTTGCCCTACCCTGTCATCCAGGGTGGTCTCAATCTCCTGGGCTCAAACGATCCTCATGCCTCAGCCTCCTGAATTTTTAAAATAGCAGTATGGAAAATGTTTACCTATAACCTGAAACCCTGATATCATAAACTACTTTTATTTTTGTATATTTTCTTCCATTCATTTCTGTATGACTGTTTCATGAGTAGGGTATTCCTTTTTCGTACTTATAGACATGTTTTGCATGGAGCTTGCTATCTTAATATATTACAAGCATTTTCTATGTTGTATGGCCTTTATGTTTATAAAAATACGGCCGGGCATGGTGGCTCACACCTATAATCCCAGCATGTTGGGAGGCCGAGATGGGTGGATCACAAGGTCAAGAGATCGAGACTATCCTGACCAATATGGTGAAACCCTGTCTCTACTAAAAATACAAAAAAATTAGTTGGGCATGGTGGCACATGCCTGTAATACCAGCCACTCGGGAGGCTGAGACAGGAGAATTGCTTGAACCCTGGAGACAGAGGTTGCAGAGAGCCAAGATTGCGCCACTGCACTCCAGCCTGGCAACAGAGTGAGACTCCATCTCAAAAAAACTAAAAATAGCAAAAAGATTACAAAGAAATCTGAAAATATGAACAAAAAGAAAAGTAGTCAATATTCTTAATGTTTATATAATGGATATATCACATCCGTGTTGCCAAGGTTAGTCTCGATCTCCTAACCTCAGGTGATCCACCCGCCTTGGCCTCCCAAAGTGCTAGGATTACAAGCATGAGCCACTGTGCCTGGCCTTCTGCTAGCTTTTAATAGCCTAGTTGTTTTATGTTATGGAATACTGCCTCCTCTATTTCTGCTCAGTTCTCCTAGAGTAACATTTAATCAGGACTGCGTAATTTATGTATTTCATTGTTTATATTCGTCACTGGAGTGTTATCTTGTCCATGTTAGAATCTTTATATTGTTCAACTTTTTATTTCCAACAGTTTATAGTCCCTGCCATATAGTAAGCAGTGTTAGTAAAACTTTAAAGATTCAATAAATGAAATAAAACAATATACGTGGAAGGGCATCATAGCTCTTGACAGCCAAGAACAGTATGCAAAAGACCTTGAAGTATTTAGCAAGATAGAAAGCTCATTCAAAGCAAAAGCACATAAACCATGATACAAAGACAAGCTTTCCCCAGAACAAGTCTCAGTCATTAATCAGAGAGTACCCAGTAATCAAAGCTTATAGAAATGATCAATCTTTGGCTGGGTGTGGTGGCTCACACCTGTAATCCCAGCACTTTGGGAGGTCGAGGCAGGTGGATCACCTGAGGTCAGGAGTTCGAGACCAGCCTGTTCAACATGGCAAAACCCCACCTCTACTCAAAATATAAAAATTAGCCAGGCGTGGTGGTGTGCACCTGTAATCCCAGCTACTCAGGAGGCGGAGGTGGAGGTTGCAGTGAGCCAAGATCATGCCACTGTACTTCAGCCTGGGCAACAGAGCAAAACTTCATCCCAAAAAGAAAGAGAGAAGAGAGAGAATCTTTGCCCAAACCTGGATATAAGGAACTAAAAAAAAAAAATTGCTGGAGAAGAGACTTGGCTGAACAACTAAAAACATGATGAATGGACATCATCCTTAACAAGAGGCTATTGAAGAAAGAATGCAAGATGGGGCACAGGCACAGTGGTTCATGTCTGTAATTCCAGCACTTTGGGAGGCCGAGGCTGGAGAATTGTTTGAGCCCAGGAGTTTGAGACCAGCCTGGGCAACATAGTGAGACTCTGTCTCTACCAAAAAAATCAACCAAACTAACCTGGCGTGGTGGCATGCACTTGTAGTCCCAGCTACTCAGGACGCTGAGGCAGGATGTTCTCTTGAGCTTAGGAGGTGAAAGTTGCAGTGAGTTGTGATTATTCTACTGCACTCCAGCCTGGGTGACAGCAAGACCCTGTCTCAAACAAAACAAAAAATTTTTAAACAGAATGCAAGATGGTAATGAAGGTATGAAAAGTCAAATTTTAGAGCCAATTCTAAATTCAGGCCTAGAGCCAATTCTAAATTCAGGCCTCATCTAAATACATATTTTTCCCTTTCTGCTTAATGATACCCACATGTGGTAGCATACAGTGTGTATATATATATATGCAGAATTGATTTGGGAGTGTTTTACTGCTGTTAGTATTCACTAAACTGCAGGGCGAATCTGTCTTTCTTTTCTACTAGAACATTCTATTTGCTTTAAAATTTGAATGTGCTTATTTTAACATTTAGCCATGCCATCTGTTGCCTATTTGCATGGGTAATTCTATTTTGTATTTATGTAACTCCCATTAAACTGAATAAAAGTGTGATCATGGCACATGTGGGATTTTTCTTTTCTTTTTTTGAGATGGAGTCTTGCTCTGTCTCCCAGGATGGAGTGCAGCGGCGCCATCTCGGCTCACTACAACCTCTGCCTCCTGGGTTCAAGCAATTCTGCCTCAGCCTCCCAAGTAGCTGGGATTACAGGCGCCTGCCACCATATCCAGCTAATTTTTGTATTTTTAGTAGAGACGGGGTTTTGTCATGTTGGCCAGGCTAGTCTTGAACTCCTGACTTCAGGTGATCCACCTGCCTCAGCCTCCCAAAGTGCTAGGATTACAGCGTGAGCCACCGTGCATGGCCGGGATTTTTCTTTTTTATTAGAATAGGATAAAATTAGGTTAGTAGTAATTTGTGCTTTAAAGGCTAATTATTCATGCACTTGGCATCTTGGCACAGGAAAAAATTAAAAAATAAAGTATTGAAAATCTGGAGAATTTTGAGACAGGGTCTGGTTCTGTCATGCAGGCTGGAGTGCAGTGGTATGATCACAGCTCACTACAGCCTCGATCTCCCAGACTCAAGTGATCCTCCTACCTCAGCCTCCTGTGCAGCTAGGACAGCAGGTATGTTGTCCATGCCTGGCTAATTTTTTGTATTTATTTGTAGAGACAGGGTCTCACCATGATGCCCAAGCTGGTCTCGAACTCGACTTAAGCAATCTGCCCACTTCGGCCTCCCAAACTGTTGGGATTACAGGTGTGAACCAATAAATCCGCCCAGGAGAAATTTTTGAGAAATTAATTTTCAAATAAAAAGTAGTTACTGTTCTCCCTAAATGTTATATATTTCAAACGTGTTCTTTAGGGAGGTGGGGTGAAATATTCAAAATGGCTATTTAGGGCTGGACACGGTGGCTCACACCTGTAATCCCAGCAGTTTGGGAGCCCAAGGAAGGTGGATTGCTTGAGGTCAAGAGTTCAAGATCAGCCTGGGCAACGTGGCAAAACCCCGTCTCTACAAAAATGTGTGTGTGTGTGTGTGTGTGTGTGTGTGTGTGTGTGTATACACAAAATTTAGCTGGGCATGGTGTTGAGAACATGTAGTTGCAGCTACTCAGGAGGCTGAGGTGGGGGAGTGAACTGAGCCTGGGAGGTCAAGGTTGTAATGAGCTGAGATTGCCCCATTGCACTCCAGCCTGGGTAACAGAGCCAGACCCTGTCTCAAAAAAAAAAAAAAAAAGGTCTATTTAATATTTTTAGATGTATTTGAGGTCAGGGCAATAACCAAGTGTCCAGACAGTTTATTCCAAAGTGCAATTTCAGGAAAATTCATATTTTATCTGTAAGTTATAGTGGGACATTTGTTTAAAATATCAATTTTTCTTTGCACAAATGAAGTAATCTTCCAATTTTAATTTTTTATATCTTTATAGTAAATAATTGTCATGCCGTATAGATACAAGATTCCTTATTTTGTTTTTTTATAATTAAGAGCTGAAGGTTTATATATTCATTTTAATTTTCTTCATGAAGAACTGGGAGTAGTAAAATGGTGTGCCTTTTGTGTCTATGTTAATTTCTCCTTAAACAATTTTTCTAAGATGGTGGAGTTACCTTAGGAATGGTGCTTTTGTGTGAAGCTGCTACCTCTGACATGGATATTGGAAAGCGAAAGAGTAAGTCACCTTACTCAAAATATAATAATGCTGCCTGTAATATGGAAAAAAAGTGATCTCTTAATCACTTTTCCTCTTTTTTTTTTTTTTTTTTTTTTTTGAGACGGAGTTTCGCTCTTGTTGCCCAGGCTGGAGTGCAATGGCGCGATCTCGGCTCACCGCAATCTCTGCCTCCTGGGTTCAGGCAATTCTCCTGCCTCAGCCTCCTGAGTAGCTGGGATTACAGGCATGTGCCACCATGCCCAGCTAATGTTTTGTATTTTTAGTAGAGACGGGGTTTCACCGTGTTGACCAGGATGGTCTTGATCTCTTGACCTCGTGATCCACCCGCCTCGGCCTCCCAAAGTGCTGGGATTACAGGCGTGAGCCACTGCACCCGGCCTCACTTTTCCTCTTATGTATAGGATAAGTATGTTATTTTACCCCTTCACTACTTTTTTTCTTTTAATGTCATGTCTGTTATTAAACCCCTTTACTATTATAAAAGTAACGTATGCTCATTATAGAAAACGTAGAAAAAAACAGAAGCATGAAACATTTTGTGGGAGATTCATCACCCATTATTCCACCACTGGAAAACTAATTATTTTTAAATTATATTTCTTTCCATTTATAAAAACTGTGTGTATAAAATTTTGGGACTTTATACCCCCTTTTTAAACAGGAGTTTAATAACATAACTTTTTCTATATGCATAATTTTAAGCTTATACTCTGTTTTTGTTTTCTTTAAGACAGGATCTCATTCTGTCACTCGGACTGGAGTGCAGTGGCATAATCATAGCTCACTGCAACCTCCGCTTCCTAGGCTCAAGCTGTCCTCCCACCTCAACTTCCCGAGTAGCGGGGACTACATGCGTGTGCCACCAGACCCAGCTAATATTTTGTACTTTTTGTAGAGATGGGGTTTTGTCACTTTGCCCAGCCTGGCCTCAAACACCTGGACTCAAGTGATCTTACCACCTCAGCCTCCCAGAGTGTTGAGATTACAGGCACGAGCTGCCGTGCCTGGCCAACTTATATTCCATGTTGTAATTTACTATTCTGATTTTTTAAAAACATTTAGTTTTTTCCTAATTTCAATTAAAATAATTTTTTAGTTACTATCATGATACCTTAAGCATCATTCTTTTTTTTTTTTCTTGAGACGGAGTTTTGCTCTTATTACCCAGGTGGGAGTGCAGTGGTGTAATCTCAGCTCACTGCAACCTCTACCTCCCGGGTTCAAGCGATTCTTCTGCCTCAGCCTCCTGTGTAGCTGGGATTACAGGTGCCTGCCACCACGCCTGGCTAATTTTTGTGTTTTTAGTAGAGACGGGGTTTCACTATTTTAGCCAAGCTGGTCCCAAACTCCTGACCTCATGATCTGCCCACCTCAGCCTCTCAACGTGCTGGGATTATAGGCATGAGCCACTGCTCCTGGCCTCTTTTTTTAAAATTTGAGACAGGGTCTCATTCTTTTGCCCAGGCTAGAGTATTATGGAGAGATCATAAGTCACTGCAGCCTTGACCTCCCTTGCTCAGGTGATCCTCTCACCTCAGCCTCCCTAGTAGGTGGGACTACAAGCACGCATCGCCATACCTGGGTAATTTTTTTAAGAGATGGGGCCTCATTACATTGTCCAGGCTGGTCTTGAGCTCCTGGACTCAAGCAGTCCTTCTGCCTTGGCCTCCCCAAATGCTGTGATTTACAGGCATGAGCCATCACACCCAGCCTATGAGTACATTTTCTTAGAGAATAAAAGACTAACTTTTCTGTACTGAGCATGTTTTAATACTCAGAAAAAGTATTTTATTTTTAATTTTTGTGGGTACATAGTAGGTGTATGTATTAGTTGGGTACATGGGATGTTTTGATGTAGGCATGCAATGTGTAATAGTCACATCATGGAGACTGTGGTATCCATCCCTCAAGTATTTACCCTTTGTGTCATAAACAATCCAGTTATACATTTTTAAATGTACAGTTGTTATTGGCTATAGTTACCCTGTTGTCCTGTCAAATAGTAGGTCTTATTTATTCTATTTTTTTGTACCCATTAGCCATCCCCACCAACCCCCAGCCTTCCCCAACTATCCTTCCCAGCCTCTGATAACCATCCTTCTACTCTCTGTGTCCATGAGTTCAATAGTTTTGATTTTTAGATCCCACAAATAAGTGAGAACATGTGATGTTTTTCTTTCTTTACCGGAATTATTTCACTTAACATAATGATTTCCAAGGCCGGACATGGTGGCTCACACCTGTAATCCCAGCACTTTGGGAGACCAAGGTGGGCAGAACATTTGAGGTCAGGAGTTCTAGACTACCCTGGCCAATGTGGTGAAACCCCATCTCTACTAAAAATACAAAAATTAGCCGGGCGTGGTGGTAGGCGCCTGTAATCCCAGCTGCTCGGGAGGCTGAGGCAGGAGAATTGCTTGGACCTAGGAGGTGGAGGTTGCAGTGAGCCGAGCTGGCACCACTGCACTCCAGCCTGGGTGACCAAGCAAGACTCAGTCTCAAAAATAATAATCATAATAATTTCCAGTTGCATCCATGTTGTTGCAAGTGACAGGATCTTATTTTTTTATGACTGAATAGTACTCCATTGTATATATGTACCATGTTTTCTTTATCCATTCATCTATCGATGGACACTTAGATTGCTTCCAAATGTTGGTTATTGGGAACAATGCTGCAACAAACATGGGAGTACAGATATCTCTTTGACACTGATTTGTTTTTCTGTGGGTATGTACCCAAGCAGCGGGATCGCTCGATCATATGGTAACTCAATTTTTTATTTTTTGAGGAACCTTCAAACTGTTCTCCTTCGTGGTTATACAAACTTACATTCCCACCTACAGTGTTCAAGGGTTCCCTTCTCTCCACATCCTTGCCAGCATTTGTTATTGCCTGTCTTTTGGATATAAGCCATTTTAACTGGGGTGAAAGGATAGATATCTCATTGCTGTTTTTGTTTGCATTTCTCTGATGATCAGTGATGTTGAATAGCTTTTTATATGCCTATTTGTCACTTGTATGTCTTCCTTGGAGAAATACCTATTGAGATATTTTATCTTTTTTGATTAGATTATTAGATTTTTTTCCTGTAGAGTTGTTTGAGCTCCTTATATATTCTGGTTATTAACCCCTTGTCAGATGGATACTGTGCAAATACTTTCTCCCATTCTGTGGATTGACTTCTCACTTTGTTGATTGTATCCTTTGCTCTGCAGAAGCTTTTTAACTTGATGTGATCCCATTTGTTCATTTTTGCTTTGGCTGCCTGCACTTCTGGGGTATTAATCAAGAAATTTTTGCCCAGACTAGTGTCCTGGAGAGTTTCCCCAATGTTTTCTTGTAGTTGTTTCGTATTAATAGTTTGTAGTCTTAGGCCAGGCACAGTGGCTCACATCTGTAATCCCAACACTTTGGGAGGCCAAGGCGGGCAGATCACTTGAGGCCAAGAGTTCCAGACCATCCTGGCCAACATGGCGAAACCCTGTCTCTACTAAAAATAGAAAAATTAGCTGGGTGTGGTGGCACGTGCTTGTAACCCCAGCTACTAGGGAGGCTGAGGCAGGAGAATCACTTGAACCCAGGAAGCGAAGGTTGCAGTGAGCTGAGATCGCACCATCACACTGAAGTCTGGGCAACAGAGCAAGACTGTCTAAAAAAAAAATGGCTTGCAGTCTTAGATTTAAGTCCTTAATCCATTTTGAGTTGATTTTTTTATATGGTAAGAGATAGGGGTCTAGTTTTGTTCTCGCTATGGATATCCAGTTCTCCCAGCACCTTTTATTGAAGAGACTGCAATTTCCCCAGTGTGTGCTCTTGGCACCTCTGTCGAAAATGAGTTCACTGTAGGTGTATGGGTTTGTTTCTGAGTTCTCTCTTCTGTTCCATTAGTCTGTGTGTCTGTTTTTATACCAGTACCATGCTGTTTTGGTTACTATAATTCTATAGTATAATTTGAAGTCAAGTAATGTGATTCCTCCAGTTTTGTTCTTTTTGCTTAGGATAGCTTTGGCTATTCTTGGTCTTTTGTGATTTCATATAAATTTTGTTTTTTCTATTTCTGTGAAGTTGTCATTGGCATTTTGATAGGAATTGCATTGAATCTGTAGATTGCTTTGGATATTACGGATATTTTAACAACATCGATTCTTCCAACCCACAAACATGAAATATCTTTCCATTTTTTGATGTCCTCTTCAATTTCTTTCAGCAGTGTTTTATAGTTTTCATTATAGAGTGCTTTTACTTCTTTGATTAAGTTAACCCTTTTCCCTTTTGCCCCAAGAATACTTCCCAGCAGGGCTTGTGGCTGCAGTATTTATCCTGAAATAACTTTGCCACAAAATATCTTGCTTTTATTATTATTTTCACATCAACTCTAATCTATCAACTTTGGGAACAAAATTGACATATTAGACTTCACTGAGTTCAAGTGATCCACTACCACCACTGAAAACAGTGCTGTAAATAGAATAATGTACTAGATATCATTCCATTTATATTTCCATTATAGTGGTATTTCTATTTACAAAATATGGTAATTCTTGACCACTGAAAATGTCAAATCCTAGAGAATGTAGCATTCCATGTGTAATGTTAACATTGTTCTCAAACAGTTGTTGGCCAGAGATTCATTTGATGAATCTGATTTTTCTGAAGTAGATGATTCTGATGATTCAGATGATTCTGATGTTAGTTCTGTTTGGTAACAACTTCAAGAACAGTTTTTCTGTTTTATTTTAATATTGAAAAGCAGTCAGATTTGCTTCAGCCTCAAAGAGCACGATAATATTAAATGAGCATTGGCAGCAAGCTGCACTTGTTTTTTGTAAATGAGAAAAGAATTAAAGAGAAATATTGTTTAATGTTTACACATTAGCCCCTAGTCACATTGTGTGAAAATTAGAAAAAGAATTTTTCCAGCTGGGCACAGTGGCTCACTCCTGTAATCCCAGCACTTTGGGAGGCTGAGGCAGGTGGATCACGAGGTCAGGAGTTCAAGATCACCGTGGCCAATATGACGAAACCCTGTCTCTACTAAGAATACAAAAATTAGCCAGGCGTGGTGGTGTGCGCCTGTAATCCCAGCTACTCACAAGCATGAGGCAGGCGAATCACTTGAACCCGCGGGGGTGGAGTTCTCAGTGAACCGAGATCACACCACTACACTCCAGCCTGGGCAACAGAGCAAAACTCTGTCTCAAAAAAAAAGGAAAAAAGAAAAAGAATTGTTCCATAAGTAAAACAAAACTGAAAAATTGATTTTTTTTTTTTTTTTTTAAAGACAGAGTCTCATTCTGTTGCCCAGACCGAAGTGCAGTGGCATGATTGATCTTGGCTGACTGCAACCTCTGCTGCCCAGGTTCAAGCGATTTTCCTGCCTCAGCCTCCTGAGTAGCTGGGATTACAAGCACCTGCCACCATGGCTGGCTAATTTTTTGGTAGTTTCTAGTAGAGACGGGGTTTCACCGTATTGGCCAGGCTGGTCTCAAACTACTGACCTCGTGATCCGCCCACCTTGGCCTCCCAAAGTGCTGGGATTACAGGCATGAACCACTGTGCCTGGCCAAAAGTTGATTTCTTATCAGTCCCTAAGTATACTTCCCTAGAGAAAGCTTGTCAAGTCTGTAGGCCGCATGTGGCCCAACACAAATTTGTAAACTCCCTTAAAACATTATGAGGTTTTCTTGCAATTTTTTTGTTTTGAGCTCATCAGCTAACATTAGTGTTAGTGTATTTTATGTGTGTCCCAGGACAGTTCTTGTTCCATTGTGGCCCCGGGAAGCCAAAAGATTGAATACCTCTGCCCTAGAGCTTCCATTGCTGTTGGACACATGCTTTCCTTTATCCCTATCTCTGTAGTTCTTAGCCATTTTTATTCCACGGATTCAAAGAACCTCTGGTCGTGGCAATGCATACTTGAGTATTTGGGGATTAGTATTTGTAGTTCAGTTTAGTAACTGCTGTGCTAATGTAGAATATGTGGGATTAGTGGAGAGAGCTATGAATCTAGAGCTAAGGATCAGATATTTTTTTCTCATTCAAATAAGGGATCCATGTTGATTGAGTTACATATATAAGGCTGTGTAGTTACCTGTGCATGAATAAAGTACTTTCAATGAGGCTATCACAATGATGTCATCAGCTGTCTAAGTCAATATTTATCAATAATACCACAAGCCACTTTCAGGGATTTTAAAGTTTAATAAATAAGCCGGGCACAGTGACTCACACCTGTAATCTCAGCTCTTTGGGAGGCTGAGATAGGAAGATCACTTGAGCCTAGGTGATCAACACCAGCCTGGGCAACATAGTGAGACACCGTCTCCTAAAAAAAAAAAAAAAAAAAAGTTAGCCAGGTATGGTGGCACACATCTGTAGTCCCAGCTACTCGCGAGGCTGCAGTGGGAGGGTTGCTTCAGCCCAGGAGGTTGAGACTGCAGTGAGCTGTGATTGTGCCACTGCACGTCAGCCTGGGCAACAAAGCAAGACCCTGTCTCAAAAAAAAAAAAAAAAATGGATGATTTTCTTGTCAGTAGTAAGACAGTGTTTCTAACAGTAAACTATTGAGTGTAATGGCTTTAAAAGAATTCACACATTTGAATTTACATAATTATGTAAAGGAGTTACTCTATTATATGATAATGGAGCAAATTAAAGGTTCTTGAAGAAATGAGGATGAAAATTGTTGAAAAGTTGAGATTTATCAATACTGTATACCCCCCTTCCTTTTCACTCTCTGAAAGTATAGACTGCCCTGGTTAGTTATTATATTCAACTTGCTCATTTTACTCTCCTTTTATTTTTCTGCAGTAATGTGTGTGGCTGGTATTGGACTTGTTGTATTATTCTTCAGTTGGATGCTCTCTATTTTTAGATCTAAGTATCATGGATACCCATACAGGTATGATTCTTACTTTTTATTTATAAAGTGATTGCCAATACTTGGAATGATTAGAGTTGATATTACTTTATAACCCTTCTTTTTGCTTTACTTCCAAACTATTTTAGCTTCTAAAGGAAAGACCATAGGCTTTATTTTTATTCATCTATTTATTTATTTTTATTTTTTTGAGATGGAGTTTCACTCTTATTGCCCAGGCTGGAGTGCAATGGCACAATCTTGGCCTACTGCAACCTCCGCCTCCCGGGTTCAAGTGATTCTCCTGCCTCAGGCTCCCAGTAGCTGAAATTACAGGCGTGTGCCACCATGCCCAGCTAATTTTTTTATTTTTAGTAGAAACAGGGTTTCACCATGTTGGTCAGGATGGTCTTGAACACCTGACTTCAAGTGATCTACCTGCCTTGGCCTCCCAAAGTGCTGGGATTATAGCAGGAAGCCACGTCCAGCCTATCCATTTATCTTTAGAGACAGGGCCTTGTTCTGTCACTCAGGCAGAAGTGTAGTGGCGTGTTCATAGTTCATTGTAACCTTGAACTCCTGAGCTCATGCAATCATTTCACCTCAGCTTCCCAAGTAGCTAGGACTACAGTTGCACATGACCACACCCAGCTAATATTTTTATTTTTTGTAAAGATAGTCTTGCTATGTTGCCCAGCCTGGTCTTGAACTCCTGACTGCAAGCAATTCTGCTCAGCCTCCCAGAGAGCTGGAATTATAGGCATTAGCCACCATGCTCAGACGGCTGTAATTCAGATATGTTGCATATAAAATTTAAGATAATTATAATGGGCAATATTTGTATGTGATTTGTCAGGAACATCTTTTAGGTTTATTCTGCCATCACCTAATTTATTCTAGAAATCTCTATAATACATAATGATTAGAACATTTTATACCATTATCTATTCACATAGCTCCTTGTCTGCATACTATACTTTCTTTTGAAGAAGAAATGATTTTTTAAATGTTTTTAAAAACTTCTCACCGCTACTTTTTTTTTTTTTTTTTTTTTAGAAATAAAGTGCCATTGCACTCCAGTCTGGGTAATAGAGTGAGACCCCATCTCAAAAATAATAATTATAATAATGTATCGTCTACAGAATAATAACTGGAATGTGAGGGTAATTTTGCTGGGACTTCTGTTAATTATTTGATCAGCAGTGTTGATTCAATAGCATGTGCCTGTAGTCCCAGCTACTCAGAAGGCTAAGGCAGGATGTTCACTTGAGCCTGGGAGTCCCAGACCAGACTGAGCAACATAGCGAGACCCCATCTCTAAAAAACAAAAAAAGAAGAAGAAAAAAATAAGATTATTAATTAGTGTCTCTGTTCAGGAGATATTTTAACTTGAGGTTATTCTGTTTCCTTTTGTCATAAGACTAATGGGTCTCTCAGTGTTTCTCACGATTTGTTATTGATGCCCAAAGATGATCACATATGTACAAAAATGCTCTTTTATCTGTTAAAACCAAGATATTGCTTAGTGGTTACAGGTAAAGCCTACTTTTCTTTCAGATACTAATTGATTGGTATATATTTTTGTTTCAGCTTTCTGATGAGTTAAAAAGGATCCCAGAGATACACAGACACTGGAGTACTGGAAATTGAAAAACAAAAGTCATGTGTGTTTGAAAAGAAAAATGCAACTTGTATATTTTGTATTACCTCTTTTTTTCAAGTGATTTAAATAGTTAATCATTTAACCAAAGATGATGTGTAGTGCCTTAACAAGCAATTTTCCGTCAAAATCATGAGGTATTTGAAAATGATTCTCCTCTTAACTTTCTCTTCCCAGTGAACTTTATGGAACATTTAATTTAGTAGAAGTAAGTATATTATAAAATTGGTAAAACTACTACTTTGTTTTAGTTAGAACAAAGCTCAAAACTACTTTAGTTAACTTGATCATCTGATTTTATATTGCCTTATCCAAAGATGGGGAAAGTAAGTCCTGACTCGGTGTTCCCACATATGCCTATTACAGATAACTACATCAGAAATTCATTCTTAGCTTTTCCATCTTTGCATGGATGTGTATACTTTACACATCTTTCCTTTTGGGTAGAAAAATTATATGTGCCATATGGTCTTCTGAAAATGGAACACCATTCTTTTTTTTTTTTTTTTTTTTTGAGACCGAGTTTCACTCATGTTACCCAGGCTGGAGTATAATGGCGCGATCTCGGCTCACCGCAACCTCCGCCTCCCGGGTTCAGGCAATTCTCCTGCCTCAGCCTCCTGAGTAGCTGGGATTACAGGCACGCACCACCATGCCCAGCTAATTTTTTGTATTTTTAGTAGAGACGGGGTTTCACCATGTTGGCCAGGATGGTCTCGATCTCTTGACCTCGTGATCCACCCGCCTCGGCCTCCCAAAGTGCTGGGATTACAGGCTTGAGCCACCGCGCCCGGCCTGGAACACCATTCTTCAGAGCACAAGTCTAGCCCTCAGAAAGACAGTTCTCCTCCTCCTTGCATATTTCCTACTGAAATACAATGCTGTCTGTGATTGTTTTTGTTTTGTTTTGTTTTGTTTTTTTGTTTCTTGAGACAGCATCTCACTGTGTCACACAGGCTGGAGTGCAGTGGCGTGAGCTTGACTGACTGCAAACTCTGGCTCCCAAGTTCAAGCGATTCTCCTGCCTTAGCCTCCCAAGTAGCTGGGATTTACAGGTGTGCACCACTACGCCAGGCTAATTTTTTGTATTTTTAGTAGAGATGGGGTTTTGACAAGCTGTTCAGGCTGGTCTTGAACTCCTGGGCTCAAGTGATCCACCCACCTTGGTCTCCCAAAGTGCGAGGATGACGTGTGAGCTACCACACCAGCACTGCCTGTGCTTCTCCATAGCTGTGAACATGAAAAAGAACCTCTATTGGGAGGCTGAGGCAGGTGGATTGTTTGAGGCCAGGAGTTTAAGACCAGCCTGGCCAACAAGGCAAAACACCATCTCTACTAAAAATACAAAAATTAGCAGGGCTTGGTGGCTCATGCCTGTAATCCTAGCTACTTGGGAGGCTGAGCACGAGACTCACTTAAACCTGGGAGGCGGAGATTGCAGTGAGCTGAGGTCACGCCACTGCACTCCATCCTGGGTGACAGAGTGAGACCTTGTCTCAAAAAAAAAAAAAAAAAGTATCTCTAAATACAGGATTATGACTTCTGCCTGAGCATGGTGTTAACTACCTTGTATTTGGAAAGATTTCAGATTCATTCCATCTCCTTAGTTTTCTTTTAAGGTGACCTATCTGTAATAAAAATATAGCTTAGTGGTAAAATTAATGTAACTTATACATGGTCTAAAATGTTTCTGCAAATTAGAGTTTGTCACTTATTCCATTTGTGCCTAAGAGAAAAATAGGCTCAGTTAGAAAAGGACTCCCTGGCTGGGCATGGTGGCTCATGCCTATAGTTCCAGCACTTTGGGAGACCAAGGCAGGCGGATCACGAGGTCAGGAGATCAAGACCAGCCTGGCCAACATGGTGAAACCTCGTCTCTACTAAAAATACAAAAATCAGCTGGGTGTGGTGGTGGACTCCTGTAATCCCAGCTACTTGGGAGGCTGAAGCACAAGAATCACTTGAACCCAGGAGACAGAGGTTGCAGTGAGCCTAGATCTCACCACTGCACTTGAGCCTGGCAACAAAGCGAGACTCTGTTTAAAAAAAAATAAAAAGACAGAAAGAAAGAAAAGGAATCCCTTAGAGTGGGAAAGGAAAATCAAAATATTGATTTGTTGCCTATATATAGAAATTAAGTATTTCTTGAAAGCTCTTCTATGTTTTGCTGTTATGTTAGCCTTTATTCTCTTCCTTTGGGTAGAGAAACAAAGTACAAATTTGGAGGGTTTTTTTTTTAATTTCGTCTCTTTATTCTGTTAGTGAAAATAACCATATGTGCTAACCATTTCTGTGAAGAATGTTTTCATGGTTATCGTTATATCTAACTATAACCTCCCCCATAGTTATAAAGAGTAACCTGAAATGCCACTATTGTGGAAATAGGAGAATTGTAATTGTGAAAAAATAATTTCAAGGAAGTCTTACAAGTATTACATTAAAAAGATACTATGACTGCCTCCTGCTATTTACCATCTAATAACCCTGCCATGTGCTTTGCAGAAAGAGATGGATATTATAGTAGTCTCAGAAGAAATATGTTATGTGGGATTTTTTGTTTTTCATTACTAGATTTCATGGATGAGGGGATATGGTTGACCTTTTATTCTTTAATGGAGCCATTTTTTGTTAATGACTCACCTGTATGTTGTGAGATTCTGAATTCCTTATCTGCTATTCTTATACCTGTCTCAGGCCAAATCTATGCTGTGGTTCTTATGAGACTTGTATGAAGATGCCCTGATTTGTACAGATTGATCAGGGGAATACTACTGCCACGTAATCTGTATAGTTCCAGATAATTTACCATGAACATTGACAGAATGACAGGTTTTTGTATTTGCTTTTTCTCCTTTTAAGAGCACATTCTTCTGTAAGGAGAAGGGCAGCATTCTGGTTAAAATCTGTGGAAAGCTAATTTACTACACTTATAAAATAGTGTTACTTTTGTGAAAACTTTGAATTAGCTTTCATATGAAGTGCCTTAAGTAGACTCTTCATTTACTTTTCTAGTAAGGGTTTAAATATCATTTGTTATGCATTTTTAAGATACTATTCAGAATGACACATTATAGTAGTAAAGATAACCAAATGTCTGGCTGTTTGCTTTTTGACCGTATCAATAAACTTTTACAATCTAAATTCTGAGTATTTGATTACCGTCTAAAGAGGAGTGATTTTTAAACACTAAACTAGAATTTTTAAATTAAGATATTTCATTTTGAAGTTATAATTAAATTCATTTAAATTTCATATTGTCCTAAGGACAGTTTGATGGGACAGTTTCTTTAAGTATTTCTAGATTGGGATATATTCTTCTAGGAATCTGTCCCTCATTAATGTTGTTACCCATTAGGTTAGTCAAAACAACCAACATCAGTAGATAAATAACTGTTTGCAATAATCGATCTACCTTTCATCCCAGACAGTGAACATTCCTTGACTAGATAATTTCCTTTTGGTAATAAAAACTTGGTTTGAAATTTACCCTGGCAGATTATCAGGTTATATGAAACTAGACAGCAGCTCATTTGCAAACATGGAGTGGAAACACTGAACAGGAAGTAAAGAGATCTGGCTTTTAGCCCTTGCTCTGTTCCTGTCTAGCTATATGACCAGAGGTGTCACCTGAACCTCTTTGAACTTACTTCTTTATACTAAGTAGAGTGTATTAGACTAAATTACCTTAGTAGTACTTCCTACTCTATTGTTCTATTATGCAAAATATTAAAGATGCATTTAAATTTGAATAAATAATATTTTATATCCACATTTGGTGCTGAATTAAAATTATTTGAAATGCAGGATGTTCTGCAGTCAGATTTCTGAAGCTAGGAAATGCTGGTGGAGGCCGTTATCACTAGAAATTATTTAATACGCATTGAAATATTTTTTGGAAAGGATGCACTTGGAAGTTGTATTAGACCATTCTTGCATTGCTGTAAAGAAATACCTGAGATTGGGTAATTTTTAAAGAAAAGAGGTTTAATTGGCTTGAAGTTCTGCAGGTGTACAGGAAGCATTATGCTGGCATCTGCTCAACTTTTGGGGAGGCCTCAGGAAACTTATGGTGGAAGGCAAATGGGGAGCCAACACATCACATGGCCAGAGCAGGAGCAAAAAGGCGGGGAGAGTTGCCACACACTTTCCAATGACCAGATCTTTCGAGAACTCACTCAAGAACAGTACTTAAGGGATGGTATTAAATCATTCATGAGAAACCTGCCCCCATCCAGCCATTTCCCACCAGGCCCCATTTCCCACCAGGCCCCACCTCCAACATCGGGAATTATAATTGGATGTGAGATTTGGGTAGGGATGAAGATCCAAACCATACTGGAACCAATACATTAATATGATTTTTTTTTTGAGATGGAGTCTCACATTGTCACCCAGGCTGTAGTGCAGTGGGGCAATCTCGGCTCACTGCAGCCTCCGCCTCCCAAGTTCAAGTGATTCTTATGTCTCAGCCTCCGGAGTAGCTGGGACTACAGGCAAGCACCACCCACTCCTGGCTAATTTTTGTATTTTTAGTAGAGACAGGGTTTCACCATGTTGATAAGCCTGGTCTCAAACTTTTGACCTCATGTGATCCACCAATCTCAGTCTCCTAAAGTGCTAGGATTACCTGCATGAGCTACCGCACCCAGCCTCGAGGTCTAGATTTACTTGGGTTCTGCCCAATTCTGAGCGGGAATGAGATCAGCAACTGTAATAGTATGCTGTTGGAACAGAAAGTCAAAGCCAAAAGGACCTTAGATACCGTTTAAATCAGCCCCTTCATTTTGACTACTGAAGAAACCTGCCATAGAGAAGTGAAGCAATTTACTGAAGTTTATTCCAGGGAAATGCCTACAGGTTTCCTATTTAGCTGCAAATTCCCTACGGATTACATTGCAAGTGTAGCTGCAAATTACTCCATGGACACTTGGAAACCATACTGTAGTTCAACCCACAGCCCATGGGCTGCATGTGACCCAGGATGGCTTTGAATGCAGCCCAACACAAATTCATAAACTTAATTAAAACATTATGAGATTTTTTTGTGATTTTTTTTTTTTTTTAGTTCATCAGCTATCATTAGTGTTAGGGTACTTTATGGGTGGCCCAAGGCAATTCTTCCAATGTGGCCCAGGGAAGCCAAAAGATTGGACACCCTTGCTGTAGTTCATGCTCACTGGGATTGCTTCCTGACATCTAGGTTGCTGGGGGAAGAGTCCTAATGAGAGAGATGTTTCCCTAGTGAGCAGACTTCCTAAAGAAGGAGTTTGATCTACC